ATGGGTGCGCTGACCCACCAACGAAAAATGCCCTTTTATCCCTGTCGGTTAACGGGTTGGAATGCTATCCCTGCATGGTGCGGTGAGCGTGGAGGACCGGGGTTCGATTCCTGCTGTCGGCGACTTCCTGTGCCCTAGTGATGGGCCCTCCCAGTGAGGGGAGTGTTGGAAGTGGACACTGGAATGGCCCGAAGTGGTCTCCCCAAGGGCTACAGGTGTCGTCCTTGGGGGGTATGGGTGCGCTGACCCACCAAGGAAAAATGCCCTTTTATCCCAGTCGGTTAGCGGGCTGGAATGCTATCCCTGCATTCTCGACCGTCTTCGCCGCCTCCGCTGCCTGACGCAGTGGACTCGGGTGCTGTTACTGGGGGTGCTACTTCTGTGGGTGCGGGTTTCCGGGGGTGCTACTTCTGGGGGTGCTGGTTCTGGGGGTGCTTGAGCTGGTGCTGCTGGAGGCTCTGGTGCTGGAGGTACTGTTGCTGCTGGCGCTGGAGGTGCTGGAGCTGGTGGTGCCGGAGGTTCTAGTGCTGGAGGGACTGTCGCTGGAGGTGCTGGAGGTGCTGGAGGTTCTGGTGCTGGAGGTACTACAGCTGGAGGTGCTGGCGGTGCTAGAGCTGGCGGTGCTGGAGGTTCTGGTACCGAAGGTGCTGCCGCAAGAGGTGTTGGAGGTACTGGAGTTGGAGGTACTGGAGCAGGCGGTACTAGAGGTTCTGGTGAGCAGCAGCCGTCCGCGCTTCGCCACCTTCTCAGTCTCCCACGTGCGGCTACTGAGTTCCCTGTCGCTGGTACTAGTCCTCCTTTGTTGTTTCCACCCGCCTGACCTGTCTCAGGCGCTGTTGCCTACTGACTCCCCTCTACCTGCTACTTTGCGCTACTCCCCGTTGCTCGAGTCCCTGACCGAGCGTCGGGAGCCTGAGTCTCGTGCTTCCTCCCCTGCTGCCTCGCCTGTTCGTGCTCGTGCTTCTCGTACTCGCCGTGTTCGCCCTCCTCCTGTTCCCAGTGAGCACACTATGGCACTTCGTCCTTCCTCTGTTGCGCAGCGCCCTGTGCTGCCGTCTCCTCCTGAGTCCTCTCTCCCCCACGTTCCTGACTGCACTCGCTCGACTTCTCGACAGATTTCTTGCATGGCAGCCTACACAAGGAGATCTGGCTGCGCCGCCCACCTGAATTCGTTTCCTGAGGGTACCCAGTGGAGCCTCCGGCGGCCAGTCTACGGTCTCCGCCAGGCGCCCCGCGAGTGGCACGACCCACTGAGGACGACACTTGCGGCTCTTGGTTTTACTCCTTCGTCTCTGTTTCCGCGCTCAAACACTTCGCTGCCGCCGTTCTACATCCTCGTGTACATCGACGACTTGGTCTATGCTACTGCTGACATTGAGGCAGTGGCCCTTGTGAAGGCGGAGCTGAAGAAGAGACACACCTGCACTGACGTGGGTGAGCTGCGCAGCTATCTTGGCTCGCAAATCACCCGGGACAGAGCAGCGCGCACCATCACTCTTACTCATTCACACATGGTGCAGCAGGTCCTTCAGCGCTTCCGCTTCCAGTTCTCCTCGCCACAGTCCAATCCTCTGCCTACAGGCCACTCGCTCTCAGCTCCACCTTCGGACAAGTCCGTAGAGCTGAGTGGTCCGTATCCAGAGCTTGTGGGCTACCTCGCGTACCCTCTCAGCATCCTGGCGCGCTACGTTGCGTCTGGGAGACACCGGCCTGACCACTACCGGGCTGCTACGAGGGTACTGCGTTACTTGAGCAGTACATCAGGCATGGGGCTCGCTTGAGGGACGGGGTTCAGTTGTGCTCATAGGGGACTGAGACGCTTCTTGGGCTGGCGACCAGGCGACTCAGCGGTCGTCATAGGGTTACACTTTTAGTCTCGGCTCTGGTTCTGTCTCGTGGAGGTCCACTCGTTCGTCTTCTATGCTTGGTTCCAGCTGTGAGGCCGAAATCTACGCTGGGGCTATGGTTGCACTGGAGTTACGCTGGCTGACCTACATGCTGATCGACTTGGGTGAGCAACCTCGTTCTTCTCCAGTTCTGTACGTCGACAACAAGGCCATGATTGCCTTGTGTCGGGAGCAGAGACTGGAGAACAGAACGAAGCACATTGCTCTTCGTTACTTTCTCGCTCGAGAGTTGCAGCAGCGTGGTCAGCTTTGCCTTGCTTACGTGGCCTCCCGGGCCAACACTGCTGATGCTTTCTCCAAGGCCCTTGGGTCTGGTGATCGTCAGCGTGTCTGCACTGCTCTAGGCCTTGTGCCTACTCCGCCTCACTTGCTTGTGTCTTGACTTTGCCTTGTACTATGATAATATATATATATATATATATATATACACACACACACTTACGTCTTTATGCTTGCTAGGTTGTGATCACTCTACTGCTTGTGCATTTATAATCCAGCATGTCAACTGGCCTTATGGCCTCTTGCTTGTGCTCGGACTGTGTGGTGAACTTGAGACCTACCCTAAGCTTTGTTTTGTTTTCTCTTGATTGGTTTTGTGACCATTTGTTTACCTAGCTTTGTTTTGATGCTCCTCACTTAGCCTAGTATGAGGGTGTGTCAAATGTTTGTACGTATTATTTAGATAGGCTGCAGTGAGGTACTTAGCGGGTACACAATTTCCCTCGATACTTTGGTTTGTACCCCCCCCTTTGACCTAATCTCACATTTCTCTTCATGATTCTAACATCTAGTGACAAAGCCGTACCCAGGTTCAATCATCTTCCGTGCTACACTCTGCGCGAAACTCTGTTACGATCCTATAACTAGGGCCATTTCAGATTGCAACAACCTATATAACTAGGGTCCCTACCAATTATTGCATAGACTCTCATTTGTATGTTTGCGTTTTCACCAAATTTCTGATATTTGCCATTCAGTGCAATATTATATTTCAGCTAATAATATGCCTTCCATTCCACAAGCATATTAGGTGTTCCAATTCTTGTGATACAAGAGAGGTATTTTGAAAAGGGAAATGTTGTTGGATAGTGGATCTCCGAAAGTGGGTGTAACAGTATGATTTTCATGGGTATCCTCGTCAGCCACCACCTGGTGCTGTGTGGGCGGGGCATGCTGACAGGTGGCAAATGTCCAACGCAATCAGGATTCTATATCGTGCGCCATGGAAACCCCAGGTTGCCTGACGCATTTCACCTCACACCACCACCACAGCGCATTAGGGATTCAGCAGCCATTCAGATCGCGTCACGTTGGTTTGTGTGTGTGGTGCCGATTCGCATCTGGGATAGATTTGCCGCACTTTTATGTCATCCCCCAATTCGCGCGCTGGTTGTTCTACGCGTCTGCTGATTGGTTTGGGGCCGCCCCTGCCCGTAGGTCCAGCGCAAGTTTCCCATCATGTTTCCCATCAAGTTTCCGCAACCTTCATGTTTTTGCGACAGGGTTCGGTTCCATCGACTTGTAAGTACATTGTTTTTGCAACTGCGGGATTGATGGGTAGGTTGGCGGTTTGGGGGAGCACCCTTTTGTGTTGTGTGGGAAGAATTCAGATATGGATCTGGTATGGCAAGAGACAGTGGTTCTTCAACACCTCCCGTCCATTATTTGCTGTAAGAGGGGACGTGGGTTCGAAAACTAACACCCAGTCAGAGTGGAGGAGGAGGAAATGAGGAGGCGAAGACTTCCCTTCAACTTTCAGGGCTACCCAGACGACAAAACCATGGAAACTAGCAGCAGCCACCATATTTGCTCTTCATTTCACGGACATTTGGGGCCATTTGCGTTAAAATTAACCACCCTGCATTGTAAATCCCATTTAATTCGTTTGCAGCTTGGTTGACGCATGAGCTGTGACCGTTGCATACATGCCGAGCTCGCCGCCTCTGTTCAGACAGGCAGTTTGCCAGCGCACGGTAGCTGCTGAAGTCGCAGACCAATCAGCAACATTTTAGTGCACGCGTTTACAGTCGTTTCATATCAAGTCGTTTTATGGCGGGTTATTATATGACAACTGAATGCCTCGAGAACTCAGGGGCACGAAATTCGTGAAGGGTACCCAGTTCAGATTAAACAATGGCCGCAACGTACAGTGTACAGTGTTGCACAAAGTGCGTTGGGAACCAAAGGAGGGGCTTCAAAGGGCAATTTGATGGTTGTACAGTACTCTCTCTCTCTTTCTGACACAACTGCATAAACTACTTTCTTGTGAGGGCCTTGTGGACCTGCAAAGAAATATCTTGGCAAATTACCTCTCACGTCCGTTCAACCCCAAGAGTCAGAGAACGCCCCAGCCCAAGCCGCCTCAGCACCGCAGTTCCTTTGTACCCCTTGCACACCACGTCCAAGTTTTCCTTCGTTTGGAAGTGCTGAACACGGAGGGGATGGTCTCATAATCGCCCAGCCCAAATCGCATGAAGTTCGAACATTCGCCGTAAGGATTTCAGAGTCCCTTCATGTACTTTCATTTAATTTTGCACACTACACGAAACGGTCAGGGTGGCGCGAAAACCGAATGATGTTCAACATTGCTCACTGGCCGTTTTGCCCCAATTCCAGTGCGTCCCGTTGTACAGTGCCTCAATGAACGGCGTCGCGTTCTGTTGATAGATAGTCCTCCTCATTTCGACCCTTACCTACCCGCCATTGTCAACGAGCGTATCACAGGACAGCACCTGCCCACCCACTCGCCTCGTAATAAAATCCTCCTACCCCCGTGCTCTGATTGCCTTCTCCACTTGTTCTCCACAGTGCCACCATTGGGTCACCACAATCTGCATCCCCGAACGCCAAGTGCAGCTCAGACTATCCAAGCTGCTTCTCTTCTGACCGACAAATCTCAATTTCTCCGAACCATCACAACTATCAGTCAGCTCAACATTTCGTTCGACCATTCTCGTGAATACCTCCACACATCAACTGAGACGCCAGCTACTTACAAAATTAACTCAATTCTCGTGCGCAACTTCCGCACTTGCATAATTGAGTGACGCTCAGTTCTCCAGTAAATTTCTTGCTCGAATGCTCGCGTAAACCATGGCTCTCTGCGTATCATCACAACCGTCCAGCTCGGACCACCGCGCACGGCCGTCACTCACGTCGCCCGCAGATATGATGCGCTCCAGCACCTCCCCCGCATCATTCGCCCGACACCACCGCTACCCAGCGCACCAGCCCTCCCCTTCCGGTTCGCCTCCTTCACAATCCTCCTCACCTGGCGGGTCCGCCTTGGGCACGCCTTCGCGCTTTTACCAAGCATCAGCGCCTCCGCCCTCGGGGGAGGCAAGTCAAACGCTTCTTCCGCAGGAGCAGCAGGCGCACGCGTCCCTCGATGGTCCATTTGCGCCGTCCTTCCTCCAGATGCAGCCCCGCCGCCCCACGTGGCTCCCCGCGGACCAGCAGGACGAGCTGCTCGACGACGACGCCCTGGCGGAGCCCCCCGTGCGCGGAACTGCGCGCGGCATCTCACGTGGTGCCAGCTGGACAGGTTCCGCGTCTGCCCACGCGGTCTTCGGCGGGCGGCCGCGTAGCGCTGCGACTGTTGACGGAGTGCTGGGTGGAGCGCCGTTGAGCAGCGAGTCGGTGTGTCCGATCCCCGCTGTCAACTGGAAGGAGGAAGCGGCGATGTCGTCCGCGGTGTGCCCCATCGCGCCTCAGGACTGGCGCGCTCTCTCCCGTACCAGCAGCGCCAGCAACAGCGAGCACGACTTGGCCGCGTCGTCAGTCCTCAGCACCGGCGCGGGTCTCGCCGGATCTGGCGGCGCCTCGACATCGCCGGGGTCGCTATCGTCGGCGGGTAGCTCGCCGTTGCACAGGAGTCCGTTGAACAGCGGTCCCCTGCAGAGCACGTCGTCGTGCCCGCTGCCAGCGGACGTGTTTCACGGCGCCTTGACTGGCGGCGTGGGGTCCGCGTCTGCTAGTTCCGGATTGATTGGCAAGGAGTCTGGCGCTGTTGCGAATGGCGTGAGTGGGGTCTTACCCACCGCAGGCGCGGTTCCTCTTCATGTATCGCTCAGGGAGCAACTGCTGCGCGCGAATAGCGGCTCCTGTGCCTACCAAGGTACCGTCCCCAATCCCCCTCCCCTCCCCATTTCCCTACGTTGCACCTTTCCTCCATTTCTTCTCACAGCCGAAGTGTTCTCATCAGTCCCGCTCTTCTCCCTCTCGTTCCCCCGTTTATGGGTGCAGGTCCCGCAGCCGCGCGACCCGCCATCGGTCGCATGGCGATGTCTTGCTCTAACAGTCGCCAGTCGAGTGGTAACTTCGCTGGCTACTCGCGAAGTTCCAACTGCAGCCCTGCTCGCGATTCTTCGCACGGCAGTGAAGACACGGGATCAAACGGCGTCAACTGGCAAGGTAAGGAGGGACAGGGATATTGGAGAGAAGTGTAAGGTGGTGAGGCAAGCGAACGGAGAAAGATGAAACTAGGCCAAAAATCAGATTTGCACACAATTGATGATATGCTTGCAAGACGATACTATTTAAAAACTGTTTTTTTCTTTCCTTATATCCCCTAATTCACCTTGACTCACTGCAGAGCTCGACGACCTGTGCCAGAGCATGGACGCAGCAGGGATTAAGATAGACCAGATTGACCTCACACCCCTGGAAGATGCATCAGATGATGTCCATGGCCTCTCCTCTGCTGCTGCTGCTGCTTCCTCTTCTGGTTACTCTGGGAGAAACTTGAAAGCCTCTGCTGCTCCTGAAGCTGGGGAGGGTGCTGCTCCTGTGAAGTATGCTGTCAAGTTTGGTGGCATGTCCATGTGGCACTCACCTTCTCATTAAAGCTTTCTCAGAACCCCATGGTAAGGGATAGCCTTTTGCAACACTGAAGGCCATCACCCACCCTTTGGGCGTCAAAAGGGTTTTTTGTGCGAAGGATTGTACATTTGGGCTCACGTGTGGGAGCTGGTGGGGAAAATGTTAAACTGCATGTAGTTTTTCCAGCATTCACGCAGCAAGTAGGCGGTTCATGTTGTGGATATTTCATTCTTACCTGTATTTGATTATGTCCAACTTATGGAGAAGTCCAAGAAAACTACCAGAACTATGTGATGCTTCTGCTGGAGTGTATCAGGCAATGGCTCAGGTCTAAACATCTAACCTCGGTACCGTCTTTCAGACTAGTGACACCGAGGTGAACTCAATCGACTTGCTGACACTCGACCAGGTGGGTGGCCAGCATGAAAGGCGGTCTGCAAAACATCTGAATTGCTGGATGGACAACCTTCGCTTTGCTGATTGTGTCGGGCGCGAGGCCACAGAATTCGGTGTGCTGGGGTTTGCTCTGCGGTTTGCCTTGAAATGGCGCAAACACCATCGCCTCCCAGTTTTTGGCGTACAAACCAAACCTACTCCGAACCAGTGGTTTGGTGTATGGGAACCGAACAAGGCTGCTCGGTCTCTTGCCCAACCGCCACGCCACCGACTGCCAACAAGCCGGAAATTGTTGCTCGCCATGCTTGGTTGGTTGGTTGTGCATTTTGCGCTTTCTTCGATTCCTGAACTTGTCACATCGCTCCGCCGCGTGTTATTACATCTTAGTTGACGCACGCCAAGAAAATGTTGTAGGTAAGGCATACCTACGTACCGAACGTAAGAGCCAACCACACCAGGGCTGTTTAGCTTGCCGGGGTAATAGAAGAACATTTGGCATTAGGGAGCTGCCTACATGTCTCACGACGACCTCCCTTCCGTCGCCTTCACCTCTTTCCACTGCCACGTCACCTCGCCGCCCAAGAAGCAAACGGGCGCGTCGCGTTCGCCTCTCGTCGCGGGCGCGGACTTTCGCAGCCCGCGCCGGCCGCTTTCCGCCGCAACCCGCAACAGCCGCTGCCACGAGATGGCGCGCGCGGGGGCGTGGCTCCCTAAATGGGAACTTGACAGCGATGACGACCCGGCGGCAGCGGCGGCGGCGGGTGAAACAAAGCCCAAGAGGAAAGCCAGGAAGCGGCCGGACGGTGAGGTGCAGGCTGGAAAAGTGAAAGAGTTTTCAGAAATAATCTCCGAGAGCAGGAGAACAGCAGCGTTGACCGGGACGGCCGCGGGGAACGATCGAGAGATGGAAGTGGACGAGGTGGTCTCACCTGCTTGTGTGTTGGCCACGGCAGCGCGGGAAGCGCTTGCCATGGCACCTGCTGAGGGCTGCTTTTGCGAAGACGCCGATGATGGCGCGAGCAGCGCGGAACTGGCGGGAAGGGAGCGCGCTGGGGGCGCTGTCGCGGAGAGGGAGGGACAGGACGTGGCGGAGTCTGAGCGGAAGGTTGTTGCTCCAGACGCCTGCGGTTCCCCCTCCCTACAAGTCCATGCAGCAGCGCCTTTCTTGTCGACCGTAGAGGCGGAACTAGACCAGCGCCGGGAGGTGCTGGGGGGGATGCTGGCGGTGCTGCGTCAGCGGATGAGCGCCCTTAGAGCCCTGGCAGGCGGGGAAGGGAGCGGTGAAAGTGGGGTAGAAGAGGAGATTGATAGAGTGGTGGATGGCAGAGAGGAAGATGAGAGCGACGATGTGGAAGCAGAGGAGGAGGAGTCTGAAGACGGGGATGGTGCTGAGAATGAGGAGAGGCGAGATGGGGAGGTGAACGACTGGTGTTGCGACAGTGTACCAAACGAATTGCAGTATTCAGAAGAGGCCTTGTGCAGAGAAACTGGTGTTGGTGCTGCTGCTGCTGCTGGCAGGATGACGTGCACAGAAAGTTCAGCCACTGTGGGCAGCGTCATTAGGGAGGGGCATGCGGAGGGCACAAGTCTTATAGATTTGGAGCCTAACCCATCGTTCAAGGGCCAAGATGAGAAGCAAAGCGGGTGTGATGCAACGTGCTGTGCGTCAGGGCAGCCCACTGCTGCCATAAATGACGTGGAAAGACTGGAAGGAGTGTGCTATGAGGGGCTGGAACTTGGAGGGAAGGAGGTAGCAGCAGGTGAGGTTATTGATACAGGGCACAGGCCGCTTGGGCTACCATGTGTGTTGTCCGACGACTCAGACGATGACCAGTTTTTCGATCTGCCTACGTCGCCTAGTTCCCTCGTATCTGGACCCTCCTCGCCACAGTGGCTTCTTCAGTGGCAGTCAGCATCGTCGTCAGCCTCCTCATTAGCCTTGGCGCCAACAGAACCTGTGCTGGAGGCTGGTCGTTTGCAGGCTGGAACCATTCCCCTCTCGCGACAGAGAGCCTTGCCTCTTCAGTTTATCTTATGGGTCATCTCTTGTTGCTCACGGAGACGATGGTAAGATTTATGTCGTGCGATGGTATGTGATGGAATGTACATATTTGTGCGCAGCACTTTCCATACTGTAAATTGGGATGTACAATGTGTGGTCCTTGATACATGGGCATGGGTCAGGGAACCATGAAAAAATGCCTGTTGAATGATTGCTTTTCAGCCAAGTAGTGCTGTACTGCAAGTAATCTTGTGGGACATTGCATGCGTTCATTTCCTTTCCATAGAGATTGCACTAACGAAGCTCTTCACATTGAACTGCCACTGTTGCAATGAGGTTGCGGATGTCGCAATAATGTGGTTACGAATCTCGCACTAATCTGTTCGCGTCGATGTTGGTCGTTGCCCACGTTGCGTCCTCTGTGGCTGTCTTGGGAAACCCTTCCCCAGTTTCCTTCCCATCTCCTTCCCCCACTCCCGTCCCCCGAACTTCCCATTCGCGCGCCCTTCCCTCATCCCCTTTTTCCAATATCACATTTCCTCCCAGTTCCCCTTCCAGATCGCTTCCGCAAGCCTCCGCCATCATATCTCGACCGCCCAGTTCTTTTTGCTTTCAGCTCGCCTCCGCTCCGCACACCCCAAGTCTCACCTCTCCCAACCCCTCCCCCCCTTTCCCACCACCCTTTCAACGCCGCTCTCGCCTTCCATCCACTCCTTCTGGGTATCTGTACCTTTGGTTCTCCCCCGCGCTTTCGTGGTTCCCTTCCCTCGCCTTCCCCGCGCCTTTCAGTTTCCCCTTCCCCGCGCCTTTCAGTTTCCCCTTCCCCGCGCCTACCCTATCCAACACCAAGGCCTTCTCCCCCTAGATAATCTCGTGCTGGTTCTTCTGCATCCACACAGCCGAGCGCAAGGCACAGCTGCCTCAACGGTTCGGCATTTGTGATCATTACCTAACTGCCTGTTGGATCTGAGCTCCTTTTTTTTATTTTACTGAGTTCGCCGTTGGGCTGCTCCCGCGGATAATATTGAGAACTTATATCTTGTAGCCCTTTCTTACTGCTTAGAGGCTCGTACTTGGGTTGGCCCTATTAAGCGGTAAGGATACCGCATTTCTCGCCGATCGTCAAGTTTACCTTGCCAGCCAGCAAACGGTCAGCGGCGGGGAGAACTTACCGGACTTCGACGGGAACTAGGAAGAAAGAGCGAGGGCGCGGGGGCGAGCAGGCGACGGAAACCATCATATTGAGTTAAAGTGAAGCCTGAAGCGCACAAGAAACCATGGTGTCACACGCGCAGCTGGACGGACACATCGCACAGCTGCAGGAGTGCAAGCCGCTTTCCGAAGCCGAGGTTCGTCTTGCGTGAGGATAATGCTAGCAAAGCAGCAACGATCCGTTATTTTCTTAAGCGTTTTTTCTTCTCTCCGAACCTAGCGGCTTTTCGTTGTATTAGCTTGTCGAATTTAATGGGCGTGTACGGGTGGAAGAGTTAGGGTGCGCCATACTAGCCAATGGGTGGCCCAAGTAATCACGGTGTTCGTTTAATCTTAAATGCGTCGCATCCGACATTGGCGGCGACTGCGGACGACATTTCGTTGGTGGATGGGATCAGCGTATTCGTGGGTGGCATCGTGACGTGTGCTTTGAGCTGCGGATGAATCGATATTAAATGTACCTCATGGGTACTTTACGAATGCTCGAAGCCGAATGGGGAGAGGAAGGGTCAAGGAGAAGGCGCGACCAGGTTATTCGCGAGGTACACGTAGGGGCTGGTTCCGATTGTTCCCGCGATTCACGAACACGGCTGGCCGACCGTCGCGTAGCTCGTAGCTCGTGCGTTTTTAGCCAGTCATTCGCCTCGTTACAATTCCATTATAACCTAAGCTGTTTCACATGCTTTTTCATATGTTCTGTCCCTTTCCCAATGCGTCTAATTGCATGGGTTTGAATGACATCGAAGAGCATTGTGTGGTATGCAATGTCGTTGCTTGGTGTTAAACCTTGTTCATTTGTGTTGAATGATGTTGAATGAAATGTCCACGCGTGACGATGCGTGGCTTGATGTCAATGTGACTGTTATGGCTGGCATGGTGGTATGGCTGCGGTGCATGCAGGTGAAGGCGCTGTGCGAGAAAGCGCGGGAGATTCTTGTGGAGGAGAGCAATGTGCAGGTGACAACCCTGCACCCCTGTCCATTGCTGTCGTCTCCTTGTTTCCTCTCCTCTATGTCTCATCGCAACTCTCAAAGACCGCTTGCTCCCGCCCCTTTAGTCCACTGCCACTTGCTGTCCCCCACATTCCGGCGCTCCATCCACCGCCGCAGCGGCATTTGGCCTGCCTGCTCCCTCGCGCCACGCCTTTGCGCCTCGCATCCATGTGCTCGTTCCGTCTCTTTAAACAATCCACGCATCCCGTACCTCGCCCACACTCTCAATGCTCTCGTCCACTCACCTGTTCCGGTTCCTTTCCGCCCCTTCCCTCCTGCTTTCAAGCGAGTCCGCCATCCTGTCGACTAACCTGTTTGCAAGTGACTTGTGCCGTGCGTTTGTCGAAACCGTAGAAGGTCGCAATGCCTCTCTTATTAAGCTTCGATTAAAACGTCTCTTGCTTCCCCCTTCTTCCCCCTTAAAGCTGCGGTCTACATTCTAAGTGGTGTTTTTTGGGGGTATTTTTTATGCCCACCCTTTCGTGCGGCCTGATTGGAGAACGAAGTCAGCATGTTTCAGAAACACCGCAGCGACGAACTCAGACAGGAAACACGAATTCAGCCCAACTTCGTGCTGACGCGTGGTTTGGGGGAAGGGTCTGCGGAAGGGCGGGAAACAACCTGGGGAGTTCGTTTCGGGCGGAAAGAACCCCAACCCCCTCTCTCCACCCCCCTCAACCGTTAGCTTTGCATGAAAGGGGGCCGAGTCCAAAAACGGGTCACCCTGTTTTCAAGTGATAAACTCAGGCCTCCCGCTCGTAGTATGTAGACTGCAGCTTTAACCCCTCCCCTTCAATTCCTCCCCCCCTCCCTCCCCCCTCCCCCCCCACCTCTCCCACTCCCATTTCCCTGCTTCCGCCAGCCCGTGCGTTGCCCGGTGACCATTTGCGGGGACATCCACGGGCAGTTTCACGACCTCGCGGAGCTTTTCCGCATAGGCGGCAAGGTAGGCGCTGCGAGGGCTTCAACCCATGCTAGATAATGTTCATCGTGCCCCGCTCCTCCAGTCCACTCCTTCGCTCTCCCTTCCCCTTGTGTAAGAGATTGGGCGTTTCTTGCTGTTATTAAAACGCTTACATGGGTTCGTAGAGTGTTTTTTTCTCTCCGCACCCTCCCCTTCCCCTTTTTTCCCACGCTCCATTTCCCTCCCCTTCCCCCTTTTTCCCCACTCTCCATCCCCCTCCCTCCTCCCAGTCGCCCGACACGAACTACCTCTTTATGGGGGACTACGTAGACCGAGGCTACTACTCCGTTGAAACCGTGTCGGTGCGTCGCTGTGGTGGCACGGGGTGCGGGGGAGGAGGGATGGTGGGGTCATGATTAGGCGTATGGGGGCTGCTGATGGGGGGAGCGATTACGGGGAGCATGTGGAGGGAGAGCATGGGGGGAACGCATGGGGAAGCGGATGGGGGATGGATTGATTGAGGGAAGCGAGATTGTGGGAGGAAGAGTGAGGGGCCTCGGGGAAAGCGGAGGAGCCGCTCGAGGTGCATGTTGTCCTGTTCTTTCTGCCAGAGCTCTCTGCTTGTTCCGCATCATCAACTTTCTCCCGTCCCCCTTTACTCTTCCTGAACTTTCCCCTCCCCGCCTTTTCTTCCTCGCTCTTTCTCGCCCTTTTGTACTTTCGCGCTCCTTCCCTCTCCTTTTCTCCTTTCGCTCGCGCTCCCTCGCTCTCTTGCAGCACACATGCCATGCTCGCAATGCTCTCCTCTCGCCCCGTCCCCATCGTCACTTTCCCCTTTTCCCAAAGCTTCCTCACTGTCGCCTCCCTCGTACCCCATCCGCCCAAAGCTTCAGCACTCGCCCTTGTATCTCACCCGCCGACTCCCCCCTCCTCGCCTTTTCCTTCACTCTCTAACCCTGTTTACCTTTCTCCCCCCGGGCCCCCCCTTTCTTTCCCACCCCCACTTCCTCCCCCCTCCCCCCCTCCCCCTCTCTCCCCCACCCTCGCTCTCCTCCTTCCCCTCGCAGCTGCTGGTGTCGCTGAAGGTGCGCCACCCTGACCGCATCACCATCCTGCGAGGCAACCACGAGAGCAGACAGGTGCGCGCAGGACTGGGTGCCACGAGGCAGATGCGTGCTGCCAGGGGAGGGGAGGGGATGTGAGGGCAGGGAAGTGGAGTGAGTGGGTAGAGGGAGGGGAAGGGAGTGGGGGTTGGTGGTGTGGAAGAGAGGGGCCGTGGTTGCAGGATAACGTGGAGGGGATAAATGGAAAGGCAATGAGGGTGCCACGTGTCTTCTTCGTATCCTCCCCACCCTCTGCCCATTGCCATCGCCACTCACCTGCTGTTGTCCTCTCTGTTCCACTCAAGACTTTTCAAATTTTCGTGTCTCTCTGATGCACCCCTCCCCACCTCCTGACCCCCCCGGCGCCCCCCCCATCTTACCCCCCCTCTTTCTCCACCACCTTTGATTATTTACTTCCCATTTCATTCCGCACTCCCTTGCCATTGCCCATTGCCTCATTCGATGTTCTCCCATGGCCTCTCCTTTCTCGCTCCCATCTTCCGCCGTCCCGCTCACTTCTCCCTCCCCTTGTTTTCCTCTCTCAATCCCACCCGCCCTGTCCATACTCTCTCTCTCTGCGGCAGATCACCCAAGTGTATGGTTTCTACGACGAGTGCCTACGCAAGTGAGAACACATGGCATTCCACGGCATGACATGGTGTGACATAATCTTGTTCTGCTTCCGTTTTATAAAGCATTCTGCATTTTGCTTCATCACTCTCCTCCCTCCACCCCCTTCTCCCTCCCCTTCTTCCTCCCCTTACCCCTCCCCCCTTTCTCTCTCTCTCCTACTCTCCCTCACTCCCCTTTCCTCCTGTTCCTGTCGTCTTCCTCATGGAGGCATTATTCTTTCTCACTTCAATGCCATATTTATCTCCCACTCCTCAAACCCGTATCAGGTATGGCAGCGCCAATGTGTGGAAGATGTTTACAGACCTCTTCGATTACTTCCCCCTTACAGCGCTTGTAAGTCTCTCCTTCCTAAATTCCCTTGGTCGCCCTTGACCAAATCGTTACCTCAATATCTTCGTAATGTAAGCCAAACGTTTGTGCCTTGTGTTAGCCAACAGTCCCTTGTGTATCCAGGTACTGTTTAGCGTGCGAAAACATTTCGGTGCATGATGGCTGGCCCCTCCTTCCCATCTCATCATACCTTCTAACGTAACTTCTCCAATCGGTACCCTACTTTTCCCATTGTTCCCATCCAACCCTCCCCGACCAGGTGGAGTCGCAAATCTTTTGTCTGCATGGCGGTCTCTCCCCATCCATAGACTCGCTGGACCACGTGCGCCAGCTCGACCGCATCCAGGAGGTGCCGCATGAGGGTCCCATGTGCGACCTGCTCTGGTCTGACCCTGACGACCGCTGCGGCTGGGGTATCTCCCCCCGTGGTGCTGGCTACACGTTTGGTCAGGTACGTGTGCCTTCGGTGGTGAAGGAGTTGTGTAAAAAAAGGGGGCCTTGGTTCTGGGTGGTATCCAGTGGTTGACGGATGCGAATTTCGGTGAGGGGCAATGGATGTTGAATGGGATGTATGCTTTCATGGACGTATTGTTTCCTAGCGACTGACATCTTCCACTGCCTTCAATGTTTCTGGATGTCACATGTTCACCAATATTTTCCTCCCTTTGTTTCCCCAATTTCTCTTTCCATCACTCAACAGGATATCAGTGAACAGTTTAATCAAAACAATGGACTCAACCTTGTGGCACGTGCACACCAGCTGGTGATGGAAGGATACAACTGGGCACATGTAAGTTCAACTCTATCTACAAAGTATTGTCATTTATGGGTAATGTCGTTCTGACGTACGTTTTGTGCACTTCAGGAGCAAAAGGTCGTAACAATCTTCAGTGCACCAAACTACTGCTACCGCTGTGGTAAGTAGTCTGACTTGCAGCACCTGTCAGGATTTTGTAGATACTTTTGCTTTAGCGTGTAAGTATGTTTTTCCATCTCCTGGGTTTCTGATGTCATTGACACTTTTTTTACAGGCAACACTGCTGCAATCCTGGAAGTCGATGAAAGCATGAGTCAAACTTTTATTCAGGTGCGCCATTTTTCTGCCATATCTTGTCCAGGATGGTGCTTTGTGAATGCCTCGTGACCCCGTTTTATTGTAAACATGCCTGCTAACTTGCACACGTTTCCGTCCTGATGTCCTGCCGTGTACCAGTTTGAACCTGCTCCAAGACGAGGTGAACCAGATGTCACTCGCCGGGCACCTGACTACTTCCTCTGACAGCTTTCCACTTATGCTCCTGACACCATTGTTTTAGAAGATCTGATGTGAAGCTTTAAGTTGGCCTATTGGTGCTTTGAACTGCATGTTCTTCCCAACCACATGTTGGTTTTCAGTTGGCAGGGTACATTTTTTTTTTTGTCAGGCTGGTCATGTCTGGATCTGCCACTGATACCGTACCGTTCACGTGTGCAACCTACGTAGAATGCAGGCGAAGGTCATGCCACAAAAACGCTTGGTGAACAAAGCCGTTCCGCCTAAAAGGCTTGGTGAACCTCAGGTTTCACATCAAACCGTGACAGGCCTTTTGAGGTTTTTGGTCCTTGAAGGTCAACTATCAACATGTGCTTGTGGTTTACAGGAATCCCATAATAATATATTACCAGTTGGTAGTCTGTACGGTATGCTTACAAACAAGTAGAGTACAATGGAGCTGGGAAACGAAGTAAATCTCCGGCAAGAAAAACGTGGCACCCCAAAAGATGGTCACTGATAGTTGCTCGACTGGATGGACGTGGACGCAGACTGCAAGGTATAAGGAGAGCTCTGCCATGTGTTAACACCAGCCCACTGACCGTCCATGATGGAAGAAGCGTCCCATATGCTGAGATACGCGAACACGGATTTGGAAGGAAAAGGATCCGCATCCGACTTTACTACTTCACGAACGACCACGCCATCTATAAACCACCTGCATCACCATATGTTGGTCAGCGGAAACTATGGGTGTTGAGTGAAATCACGCACAAGTTAAAAAACACTCACTGAAGCTTTTCTGGTCCATAATAAATAGTGTAATTGTGATAGTCAGTGGATGCATCGAAGCCCAAATCAACAACGAGCTCATGATGGCCAACGCTGGATCGAAATTGCAGGTGTCACTTCACGTCAGGTTAAGGACATCAATCTCAAATGCTTGAGTACTTACCCTGAAACGTAATAGTTAGTCTGTACTCTGCCGTTGTCGCCAAGAAACTCGAAGTCAATTTCATCTTGATCAGTACTCCCCTCCCACGTGGAGACATAGAATGATGAAACTACACCACTGCATTTACGTGTCAGAACGAGCCACATGCAGGTGAGGCATCCGCTTAAAGAGTAAGACTGACCTGACAGATCCTGGTGGTGTCTTCACCAGAGAAGAGAACGATGTTCCGGGATAGTACTTGTCATTGGTTCTGGCTCTTCCAGCTGGACAAAAACGTGGTGTTACGATGCTGAAAACCGTGCGTCTTTTGCACGGTAAGATGCGCGGCTCCTTACTTCCTGAAGGATCGAGTGTAATGGAAACATAGCTTCCTTGAATGGAAATGTGATCATACTCTCCTGCGTCCTTGGTATAAAGGGTTGCGTCTGACCCTTGCAGGGCTCGTCTGAACTCACGTGAATGAACTCCTGGAATCGACAGGAGACTGACAACAAAAGATGTGTTGTTAGCCGTTTAAACCTGCAAACACAGCGACGTATCTTGCAAATAGTGGGCATCAGGCGTCAAAACTTACGTGAACACAAGAGCTATCGAGGCGAGAACAGCCTTAGATGGCTGGGAGGACGCCATTCCAAGAGGATCAGCCTGGAAGGAAGGAAGCAGGCCGATGACTCCGACGAAGTCAAGTCGTGAACTTCGGCCAAATTAGGTTTTTATGCTCAAACTGAACCCAGTCGCGCCTCGGGTTTGACAACTCGGTAGAATTGAAATAAATCTGTGAAATGTATTTCTAGCTACAGTACGCCGCCACTCTTACAATGGAAACGCATTGAATCAGTAAGAAAACATTTGGATCAGTATCCTGCAAATTTCACGTACGTTTTTGCGGCACATTCTAGCAAACATGTGAATGCACCAAAAAATTTACGGTACTAGTATAGCTAATAACTTCATGTTTGGCTTGAGCGGAAAAAATGACAATTACTGGTAAGAGTACCCGTATGTACGGTACGGTACGGTATGTGCGCAGTGCACTCGTCTTGCGGGAGTAGCAAGTAGAACTGAGACTCCGGGTATGATCTGGGTATGGCCTTGGCACATCAAGGTTCACTCTCTTGGTGGGTTGGGGAGCCATTCAGGGAAATGTGACTTGCTTTCAATCAAGTTGGGCCCAGCCACCTAAACAATTCCAGCCGCTCTGACGCATATTATGATAAACATGAAAAACACACTACTGGAAGTGATTACAAGAGGCCTCCAGACTATGAGACATGATATATAAGCAGCTTATATACAGGGTGAACATCACCTGAAGCTTTACTACAGGACAAGGATGTACAAATGCTCAAGTGAGCACCAGAACAGCCTCTTGCTGACTGCTGTCTGATCAACTCCTTATCCATTTGGTTGGCAACAGCACTGGAGTACGGTTGCGCCTGTAACCAGCCCTTCGGGCGGCTACCCTGTACTAACCAGCAACAAGATGTTGGAAGAGCGAGGGATGTTGATACTGGAACGGCTTGGAGGAGGACAGGGAGGAGGTATGTACAGGAGCGTGATGCATGCACGAGTGCATCATCAGTGTGTGCAGGCTGGTGGGAGCGAGGAGGATCCTACATATAAAGGAGGCGGCCTATGACAGAGAGCAACTAGCTGGCCACGTGGCCTGGCAATGACGCAAGGGAAAGTCGTGAAGAGAAGCAGGGAGCTCGCTTGAGTATAACCTGGACTCAACGGCTTCAGGTGCGTGCCATGGGTTGATAACCGAGCACACGAGGTCCCTGAAGACAGCTGCATCCAGATAAACCTACTAGCCAGGTGAGGTATAAAGGACCCCGTCTCCAGGAGCTTGGAAGACACATGTGAGTCGAACAGCTTCTCTCCGGATGATCGAGATGATTCTGCCTTCTTGGCTTGATGTCTGGCTGGGTCACAAATCGCTTTTTGAAACTCGGCTGCAAGGAGCTGTGGCTGGAAACATTTCTTGCTGCGAGTCCTGGTTGCTTAAACTACTCAGCGGAAGCGACCGCAGCAGCAGCAGCAGCAGCAGCAGCAAATTGCAGGGAGGATCGACGGCGATTGGGAGTGGCTGTGGGTCGTGAAGGCTTGGGTACCGTAGATGGGCATGAGCGAGGGCAGGAGGGGTTGACGCATAGGAGCATAGCGAGCTGGACTGGAGCTCGAGTTAAGATTGGCGCACGTGATGGAAAACGCGAAGACAGGGGGCGGGGGGTGGGCGGAGAACGGCGGAGTGGAAGGGCGGAGGACGCATGGCGCGAGCGAAGCTTCAGTTTAGCGGAGGGGCGAGGTCGAACGAGGAAACCACTGCCACGAATCAAGAAACCGACGCAGGGATAGACGCGGCAGCGAGTTGACGGCGGTTGTTTCAAGGACGGACACAAGGGACCGCAATAGAGGGAGCATGCGCAACCCATCCATGCGCCCCGCTGGATATCCGCCGAGCTCGCGTTACAAGAATCGACAACCTCTTCCTCCGCTGCGACGCGTTCGCCACGGCGGGAAAATAAGGCGGGTGGAGGCGGCAGATGCGGCACGAGGCGGACGGGGCGAGAGGCGACGAGAGGCAGCGGCAATCCGATGTGAAGAGCCAAGACGCTAAGCGCGCCCACCCGGGTGTCAAGAGCGGGGAAAAAAGGATCTTATCCAAGTCAAACACCACGCGTCTGCCAGCGTTCGTCCGTGAATCCGCGGCCTAAGAGCAACGCAGCGGCGGTTTTCAGGGGCTCGGAACGGCGCGGCTGCAGGATACCGTAAAAGGAAACCAAGGCTGACGTTTACAGCACAGGAAGGAGGGAGCTTGGGAGACGCGTATTCAGGAGGAAGACATGTAGCCGTCGCCGTCGCCATCGCACTCTCCAGCTGCCGTAACGGCGGCTCGCACAGCGGCTCTTGCGGGGGAAGGCGACGCGGAACGGCGGTGAGATGCAGCTGCGGAAGTAGCAACAGCGGCGGCGGCGGTAGTGGTGGCGAAATCGCCGGTGGAAGCGGAGGTTCGCTGCGCGTCGCGTTGGGTGCCGTCCGTCTCGCCCTCTACCTCGATGGCCGCGCTGTTGTGCGACAGCAGTCGCGTGCGAAGGCGACGAAGCTCCTCTTGTCGCATCTCCAGTCGCTGAGGACGGAAAGAAGGAACGAGAGACGGGGAGAGAACAGCGAGAGAGGTAAGAAAAAAGGAAATATGCAAAACGGCTCTATAAACAGAAAGAATGACAAGGACGAGCGGAAGACATAGAATAACGAGAAGCAGGGAAGGGGAGCACGAAGGTGCGAAGGGAGGAAAGGAGAGGGAGCGGGACGGAGCAGCGTTGGTGAGCGCGCATGGAACGTACGTCGCGTAGAGAGTGATTTTCCTCCTCCAGCTGCGCCATCTGCGCTTCCTGCTCGTCGATACGTGCGCGCAGGATCGAATCGCTCCCATCGGCAGCAGCAGCCGTACCATCGCACGCGGCAGCGCCAGCAGCGGCGTGGCTCGCCACAACGTCACGGCCGGGTGCGTCGGCGTCGCACGCAGGCGCGACGACGAGCATGTCGCAGACGACCTCGAAGAATCGCACGTCGAAGCCGGCGACAGCGACGCGCTCCTCCTTGTGCGCGGCTCTCTCCCGGGGAGCGTCCTCGCTGCAGGAAGCACCCTCGGAGCACTCAGCGCGGGAAACAAGGGGCATGTCGCGGGGAAAAATGCGCATGCCTTGGCTGTTGCCTTCGCTTCTTTCCTCGCGATCGTACGGCACGGGTTCGGGAGTCCGGAGGCGAATGCAACCGCTCATGGAGCCGTACGGATTGACGCTTAGCAAGGGAGCCATGTCCGCCATACCCGCCAAGTCTGGTGCTAAACCGGGCATGTCTTCGCTGTTCCCGTGGTCGCTGTTGTCGCAGGGAACGTCGCCAGTCGCACATGCTCCTGCTGATCCTGCCGCCGCTGCTGCTGCTGTTATGGCGGCGATGTCTGCTGTTACGCGCGGAGAGGCGGAGTCTCCCGCGAATGCAGCGGCGAAAGCATCAGGACGCTGGAGCAGCAACGGGGAGGTAGCGGCACAGGGGGCAGGCGAGCTGAAGGACTCGTGCTGGCGGATAATGAACGACGAGGTGTTGCGCGGAGAGCGCGGCATCAGAGGCGCGGGGGATGACACACTCGCGCGGGCATATCGTTGCCGGCGCTGCTGCGGCGACGACGGAGATGCGTCATTCCACCATGCAGCCCGGGAATTGTCAGTTGAAGCACCTAATCGCGGAAATTTGCCTTCAGGTAAGCGATACCCTCGAATTCCCTTGCTTCGGGTACGTATCGGCCGCTCTCTACCCCGCGATTGCCTTTTCCGGTGGAGACACTGCGGGGAGTTCGTAGCAGAAAATCGGTTCGTGCGATAAGGGAATGCGGGAGCGGGAACCGCGGTGTTAACAGGCTTCAAGGGTCGAGCGGACGTGCAGTAGGCGGAAGGGAATTGGAGGTGGACGTTAGCGGACATGCCGCCAGCCCAAGGCGGCATTCTGTGATCAGCGAAATCGGTGGAGCGGGAGAAAGAGGCATAGTAGCTGTAAGTCGAGGACGGCACGGAGCCTATGAGGAAGAAAGAAGGGTAGGGCTCGTGGATCACACTTCCATCCATAGCGGCGTGGTGTTGCGCAGTGTTGCTTGTCTGTCTCGGATACTTGTTTCTTGCTTCAGCAATGTTCGCAGTGTAAAATGTGGAAAAGATGTCTTCACGAGGGATTGAAGAAAGTGGAGTGAAGGGAGAGCTTGGCACAAGTGGACGGAAGGGAGGGTGAGGTGAGGGAGAGGAATGGATGGTAGGCTTGGGCCTTTCCTTGCGAGTAGGACACACAACTGGCCCAAGGCAGAAAGCAGAACACTGAGGTAAAGGAATGGGGAGGAGTTGAGCAGGAGGATGGGGGTGAACGGGGTGAAGTGGAGTGGAAGGGGATAAAGGGGTTCGCTCGCTTGGTTGGAGAGATCACACATGCGAAGATGGAATGCGACTCGCGAGTGAGCGAGCGCATATTGGCGAAAGTGACGCATGCGAGGCGTCAAGTGACTCATGCTCGGGGGCGATGGCGTGGATGTTGGGGACCAGCGGATGGGGACTGGCGCTGGTCTGAGCGTCGCAGTGTCGCATGGTAGAGGCGAGGCGGGGTGTATGGTGCGTGGACCCTGCTGGATTCCACAGAGAGAAAAGTGGTGGTGCAAGGGGGAATGCATCGGTGTGCACTACGCATGCGACAGTCAAAGTTGACGGAGAACGTCTGCCGTTCGCGAACTGAACTTCGTCTGGCTTTGTCAAACGGAGAGGGACATCGCTGGTTACACCTTTTACACATGATGCCCAACCACTGCGCGCAAATTTGCCTTGTACATTTCAGAAACTCTGCACCCGTGCTTTTTTTCCCGGTCAGTTGCACCCAGGGTATAGGCACGCGGATCAACTTGCATTTGGGCGAGAAAACGCCAAAGTATGAATCTTAGGCGCAAAACAAACCATGCTGACCCGGTTTGTTCTTGTTTCTTGGCCAGAAACGAGCATAAACCCTAAACCCTGAACTAACAACAACAGAGGCCCACCAGCACTGTTTTGGAAAAAACAAACGAGTTACAACCTGTGTTTTTTAGAAGCACCTCAACACCCTGGCGAAATGGAACGAGCTGGGCGAAATGCCCAGAACGTTTATAAGCTCAGAGCACAACCCAAGTAGGGGAAACTCAAACGAGCATCAGGTGTAGTCAGGAAGACCATTCCTGACGTGGCGTGGTGGTTCCTCCTCGGTGCTGCTGCATGGGAAAGAAGGGGGGAATACAGTGCTGTACGCGGGAGGTCCTCTGGCAGTAGGGTGACTCCCCTGCACAACGGATTTTTTTTTTGGGCTCACTGCTGGTTTGTTCCTACAGCATTTCGACTCAACCCCCTTGTCACAAGGAACTCTTCCCACGTGTGCCTCGTCGCCAATGCTTCGTTGGTCGATCACTGTGACACTGACCGAGCCAATTATGCGAGGGGAACCAATCAGAGCAAGGTCTGTGCATCCCCATACGAGGCTGACGACGACGGAGCTGCTTCACGTAAAGGTCAGGGAGCACCGAAGCAGACTCATTGGCCTAGCGATAGAAAGGGTGGTGTTGGTGTGGTGTGGCGAGCAAACGGGCTGGTGGTTTTGGGTCAGGGACTTTGGACACGTCAGGGCACGGATTTATTTCTAACCTACAAGTTGTGTAATGGGCAAATGCTCTGTCAGGGTGGCTAAAATTGGGCGGTCTTCAGTTACCCCGCTGGTTGGCCAACCTGAGCCTAGAGCTGATTAGGCACGGTGAGAATGGTTTGTACTCTTGTCGGATCATGTTTGTTCAAATATGGTTTCTTTAAGCCATGGGTGCAATGCGGTTCAAGCCTGCTACATTTGTGTACAGTATTTCAGTATGGATATACAATCTGACTTCCCTGCCAGTATGAAGCCAGGATGCCAGACTAGCAGTGATATCTGACATAAGAGGGGCTGGTTCAGCAACAACTTGAAGCCAGGTGTACAGCTGAAACCACTTTTCGTGTCACGTCCCAACAAAGTTTTCAGTACTCGTACTCTTTGAAATCGACAGCATTCCTGCTCCCCTAGACCGAAACAGGTGTACTCTAGAAGAGAGAAGGCCTCGAAATTATCTGTGCGCCAATTCCTAGAAAACCCACATCATTCCCCCCTTCCTGGGTACACCAAGAACGATCCATCTTCCCGATGGGTGACAGTTCCAGGCTCGTGGTGTTAGAGAGGGCAGCAAGTTGGACGGCTGAGATGAAACGCACTTCCCCAAACCAAAAGCGACTGAAAAGGTAATCGCACGAATCGCCGATAAGATCTCGACGTCCCCTATTGGAGGAGCAAGGGGCATGTTACGATTTCCGTTTGGCGTAACGAAGCTTGTCCGCTCTTTTCTCACCTTCCTCCTCCTGAACCTCCCTCACCTGCGGAGCGAACACAAGCAACACACAGTGACCCAGTACTTGCTCCATCCAGAAACCGAAGCATCTCCCCTATTAAGAAGAGTTCGACAGTATGCATATCACGCAATGTGCAACAAACGTTTCAGTTGTACTTAGACACTTGCAACAAGAAAGACGTAAATATTAGGGCACAACCCCTAGCAACACCCTGAAAATCGTGGTATCAGAATCTGTTACCCTGATATAGTAGACCCTGCATTAGCTAAATACATCCTCCACGCGCACAGACCCATTGAACGAAAACTGAAAGTTATTCCTCATTACGGTACTCGTGATACGGTACATAGAATCATAAATAGGGGCGACGGTCCAACCATTCATGGCAAGAGGGGTGGCTTTAGGTATATTTTTGCGAAGTGTTGCATTGCATGCACATGCACAACCCCTTTGGTAACGCTAAGTTCAACCCAAGTCCTTCTTCAGCGAAGTCTGCTCCCACGGATGTACTTTGTTTTAGTACAACTGTCAAACACCATACCCTCATCAATATAAGCTATGCTGCTTGGTTTGTCACACCATGCACCTGATGCATTCCCTCACAAAGCTGCTAACCAACAATGCATACGCATGTTGTTTGTAGGCGATATCAACACCCACTGCATCTGCATCTTACCCTGCCATCACACACAGTGCCTGTTCCCACCATCCATATACCCCAACTGAGCATCTCCCGCCTTCCACTACACCCCCCACCCACCCCACATCCTAGGGTGCATGAGTGAGCCCTATGGATGAAGCCATCACAACATACACCAGGTGCTGCAGCGCACTCTCCAGCTTCTCCCGTGCCGCCTTCCCATCTGCCACCAATCCATCGGCCACACTGCCCTTCTTCACCTCCACTCGTCTCACCAAAGCTGCTGTTGCTGCCTCCGCCTCTGCTACTGCCCCCGCCGCTGCTGCCTCTTCACCAGTTTCCCCTTCTGCTGCTGCATCTGTGGGTTCCTTTTTGGAGCCACTCCCTGTAGTGCTCCTTGCGCTGACGCTTTGGAAGGCCTGCTCCACGTCAGCAACGCCTGACGATGATTCAAAACAGAGTGACATTGAGAAAAGAGTACGATGGGCCGTGCCAATACAACAGGGCTACAACACATGAAAGGCACAGCCAAACAGGCGAAACCCAGAGGGCATGTGTCAACACTCTCGCAGCCAGCAGATCAGCAGCACAGTGCAGGCAGCAAGGAAGCAAGCAAGCAAGAATCAAAGCACGCCAAACAAGCAAGCAAGCAGGCAAGAATCAAAGCATGCCAAACAAGCAAGCAAGCAGGCAAGAATCAAAGCATGCCAAACAAGCAAGCAAGCAGGCAAGAATCAAAGCATGCCAAACAAGCAAGCAAGCAGGCAAGAATCAAAGCATGCCAAACAAGCAAGCAAGCAGGCAAGAATCAAAGCATGCCAAACAAGCAAGCAAGCAGGCAAGAATCAAAGCATGCCAAACAAGCAAGCAAGCAGGCAAGAATCAAAGCATGCCAAACAAGCAAGCAAGCAGGCAAGAATCAAAGCATGCCAAACAAGCAAGCAAGCACGCACCTTTGAGGAAGCTACGGATGACTGTCCTGGCCCCCCTGGCCAGAGTGCGTGCCCGTGCCACAACCAGCGTGGCTCTCTCCTCTCTCCCTGCCGGCCACCGGAACGAGCCCGTGTCTTCCTCCTCCTCTGCGGCGTCGCCCTCCGTGGGCTTGGCCGCCGGAGAGGCAATGCAGGAGTTTGCAATGTGCAGCATGTGCAGCAGACACAGCGCTGACAGCTCCGACAGGCGCTGCACACGGAGGGTGGGACGGGCGGGAGAATGGGGGACACGGGGGCGGGGTGGGGAGGAGCAACAGAGAGTATGAGAGGTACAAGCGGTGGGAAGGGCGGAGGGGCGGGAGGAGGAGGGGTGAGCTGGATTTGTTTCAGGATCTGATGGCAAAGATAAGATAGGAAGAAGAGGAGGATTTGGCAACCTGCAAAACGGGATACTGAAGGTTGGGACATGGGAAGGCAAACTTGGAACGGAAAGAAGGACGACGCGAGGGAGGAAAGATGTAGGAATGGGGTGTCTTGAAAAAGGCAGCTCAATACTGACATCCTCGTCCGATTCACGCCCCATGCCCAGCACTCTTTCCCCCCTCTTATCCCTCCCCTCAAGTTGCTCCTGTCCCCTTGGCCCCTCACAAATTCATAGCACACCCTCTCCCCGTGGCTCACGCGCACGGCCTCTCCCCCACCCCTCCCAGGCTCACATGCACGCCCTCAGTGCGGAGGGCATCGAGGCGGTCCACTGTGCGCTGCACCGCCTCCTTCACTGCCACCTCCGCACTCAGCTTCGCACGGAACCTGCCATGTGCCCCATGCCGCATGCCATGTGCCATGTGCCCCATGCCATCCGCCCCATGCGACACGCACATAAGTAGGCGGAGGGGGTGAAGGAACGGGGGAGATTCAATGGGGTTGGGGATCAGGGAGTGCGAAGGTGTGGACTGAGAAATACAGAGTGAAATGGAGAATGAGAAGCGTGGCAAGTGTGGAGGACGAGTCAAAGGAGGGAACGAGGGAGGGAAAAAACAAAAATAAAATAAAATAAGAGTTACTGTTTCATGACAGCAATAAAGTTACAGAAGCAGAATGAACGAGGGCGCACCAGGCATTTCATTCTCAGTCTCCCTAACCTTCCATCCATCCGTATCTCCTCTTTCTCCACACCCACCCACCCCACGCAGCCGCACAGCAGCGGCCAGAGCCCACTCACCCACTGGCGAGCTCCTGTGCCTTGCTCACACTCGACTCCCTCAGCACATTCATCTCATCCTCCTCCTCCTCCATGCCCTCTATCCCCAGCAACTCCTCCCCTGCACCCCCCTCACCCTCCCCCTCGTCCTCGTCCTCATCCCCATCCTCCCCCTCCCCGCCCTGCCCCCCCAGCGTGAGCGCGCCCTGCATGTGCTTGACGGCGTCGTCAAACGCCGCGCGCTGCTCCGCAGGCAGCTTGCCGCGTGCTCGTATGCACACCACTGTGTGGTGGTCCGCCAGGGCCTCCAGCGACTGACAGAGTGAGAGGAGGGGGTGGGGTGAGGGATGAGGGGTGGGCGTGGAGGGGTGAGGGGTGAGAGTGGAGGGGTGAGCGGTGAGAGTGGAGGGTGTGGGGTGTGGGTTGGGGCCAGGGCATCCGTGGAAGCTTGCCGCGTGCTCCTATGCACACCACCATGTGGTGGTCCCCCAGAGCCTCCAGTGACTGACGGAGTGAGAGTAGGGGTGTGGGGCGTCGGGTGAGCGGTGTGGGGTGGCAGTAGGGGGTGTGGGGTATGGCATTTACGGCGGAGCCAGGGCATCAGGTGGCAGTCAGGTGTGTCCGGTGGTGCTCAGCTGTGTTATTGAGTGCCACCCATGCAAAATGCATCACATCACACACGCCACGCACCTCCAGGTGCTCAGGGCCACCATAGATATAGAAGCAGTGGTCAAACGACGTCTCCTCCTCATCCTCCTCTCCCTTCTCCTCCTCTACCTCCTCCCTGCCCCACCCTCCCACCCCCCCTCCTCCCAACCCCCCATCACCCCCTCCTATCCCCGCCGCAATCCCCCCCAAAATCCCCGCAATCCCCCCTCCAATCCCCCCACCCCCTCCCCCTCCTCCTCCCACCGCCGCTCCCACTCCCGACCCTCGCTCACTCCCCACTCCCCCAACCCCACCTCCACCACCCCCTCCCACCCCTCCATCCGCGCCTCTCTCCCCGTCGCCCTCCCCCTCATCCTTCTCTAGCTCGATGCCGGTCTCAGCCACGATGATGTCGATGGTGTTCTTCCCCAGGGCCTCCAGCATGCGCATGCCCTGCTCTGCCATGCCCATGCCGCTCTGACATGGGGAAGCAGAGGGGATCGGGGGGAACCGCAGGATGTGGAGGTGATAGCGGGCGTGAGGGGAAGTGATGTGGCAGGTGATTGGGTGGATAGCGGGGAGCATGGGAGAATTGTGGGAGGCTGGGAGTGTTGAGGGTATTCAACGGTGGGTGCATCATCTAGACCATGTCGATGGTGTTCTTCCCCAGGGCCTCCAGCATGCGCATGCCCTGCTCCGCCATGCCCATGCCGCTCTGACCATTGGGGGGAGGGGGAGGGGGGGAGGGGACGCATTGGGGGAAAGAGGGTGCACAATGATAGCGGTTGTGAGGGGGAGAGCGACGTGGAGGGGGGGGGTCGGGAGGATGGCGAGGAGGATGGAATGGAAGGATACTGGGAGGAATGGTAGAATGTTGGGAAGGATAAGAGTGTTTAATGTATCCAGGAATCGCTGCGACGATCTCCCAAATAGGACCCCACACCTGCCACTCCGCACATCCCATCTCCCCACTCGCCCCTGCACCTGCCCTCACATCATCCCCTCCTACTGAGCAAGACAGCGAGACATCAAGAAGCGAGAGAACGAGTGCTGATCTTTCCTTGACACGTCTCACGAATCACTCTGCTCCGCCCTCCGTACAGACCACGAGGAGGAGAGATCAAGAAGGGTACTCGAGAGCAGAAGCTAGATCACTCCAGATGCCGCAAAGAGAACCCTCTGCTATGCGCCTTGCTCGCAACCACCACCCTCCCTCCCTCCCTCCCTCCCTCCTGGCCACGAGGAGGAGGGACGAAAATGACTACTTCAAGCAAGAACGGACACTGAACGGATGCTGATCTTTCCACAAAGCGCCTCACGAATCACTCTGCTCTGCTACGCGTTATTCTCACACCCCCCACTACTCGCTCCCTACCGACCACGAGGAGGAGAGACGAGAAGGCCTACTTCAAGAATGGACACTGAGCCCATGCCCGCCGCATGAGCATCCGCCGCGTCCTCGCTGCCGCTGCTCGTGGTGGTGGTGGTGATGGCGGCGGTGGCGGCGGCCTGCTGCTGTATCGTCTGCACCACGGCGCCAGTGGACTGCTCTAGCCTGACGGGCACGGGGCGGGTGGCAGGCGGGGTGGAGGCGAGAAAAGGGGGTGACGGGATCTTGGCCTGTGTTTTCACAGCGCTTCAGGAGGGAGGGAAGGGGGTGAGGGGAGGTTGGTGGTTCGTGCAACGGGCATGGGGGCAGAGAATGGGAGAATGGATGGTGGTGATGATGGCGGTGGTGGTGGTGGTGGTGGTGGTGGTGGTGGTGGTGGTGGTGGTGGTGGTGGTGGTGGTGGTGGTGGTGGTGGTGGTGGTGGTGGTGGTGGTGGTGGTGGTGGTGGTGCTAGTGGTGGCGGTGGTGGTGGTGGCGGTGGTGGTGGTAGTGGGTTGCTGGTGCCTTACTGGTGCACGAGAGAGAGGCCGCCCATCCACGCGGAGCCCAGCACATGCAGTGCGCCTGACGTGAGGTTCTCCATGGACTCGTCAAACGCCTTAAAGTCCTGCCTCCATGCCACCATGCCACCATGCCACCATGCCACCATGCCACCATGCCCCGCACATGTGCACGCACACACGTGCACAGTCGGTGCAGCAAACATGCAGTGCACACACATGCAGCACACGGAGGCACAGTGACATGAGTCAAGCGTGGGAGATGAGAGGATTGTGCTCATATCACTCCGAACGCACACCTCACATGCATCCCAGAAACACATGCATCCCAGAAACACATGCATCCCAGAAACACATGCATCCCAGAAACACATGCATTCCAGAAACACATGCATTCCAGAAACACATGCATGCCAAAGGCACAGCATGGCAAAGCCACATGCACGAATCTGCCCGCACGCTATACCGGGTCCACTATCTCTGCGCCATCTTCCACATCGTCCCTCCCCGCCTCTGCTCCGCCGCCACCTGCGCCATCCCACTTCTCCCGCCCGCCGCTCCCCCCACCATCCCCCATCTCCGCCTTCACCACCGCAGGAGCCTGTCTCACCACCGACTCTGCACCTGCCCCCTCCGCACTCTCCGCCTGCCCACCACCAGACTCGCCAGCAGCAGCAGCAGCAGCAGCAGCATCATCACCACCAGCACCATCACCACGCTCTTGCCCTTCGCCCCCTTCGCCCTTGCCCTTGCCCGCCGTTCCCACAGCTGCCGCCTGCTGCGCCGCTCCGTCCAATGGCACCCCTCCACCTGTCTTCTCCTCCGCCTGCGCCCCTGCGCCCCCCTCCCCCTCCCCCTTCCCCACGCCCTTGCCCTCCCCCCGCCCGTCCCCCTCCGCCGCCACCTGCCCCTCCACGTCTTCAAAGGTATCGATGATTTCCTTCGCGGCAACAGTCGCCTGGTGGTGCGGGATCGGGAAGACACGGATTTAGGGTAGCTGGATGAGGCTTTTGGGAATATTCGCGTTTGCTAGGAATCTTCGCTGGGATGCCGACCTTTGCTCTTTGCGCTCTGCTCTCCGCCCTCTCTGCTATCCGCTCTCTGCACTTTGCTTCCTGCTCTCTGATTTTTGCCTTCTCTCTGCCTTTTAACGTCTGCCTTCTACTCTCTTCCCTTCCTCTGCTTCCTGATTTCGGCCTTCTCTTCTCTACTTTCTGCTAGCTGCAAAAACAAGCAGCAGGGGCTGGTTTCAAAGCTAAAGGACGGGGGAGGGGGACGCGGAAGGATCGCGAGCGTGGGGAATGGGGAACTGGCGGAGAGGAACGGCGTGCGCAGCCATAGACGAGGGACGGGCGACGGGCGACGAGATGCGACAGAGACGGGCGACGAGCGACGTGAGACAAGAAACAAAGAGCGACACGAGGCGAGAGACAAGGAAAGCCCCTCCGTGAACACTCACGGCGTGGGATATCTCTCCTGTCACCTCCGTCGCCACCTCCTGTATAGCCGTCACCACCGACAGCGCCGCCGCCCACCCGCCTCCCCAGCTACCCCACCCGCCGCCCGCCGAGCTCTCCTCCGCCACCGCGGCTGGTTGCGGGGCTGCTGCTATCGCTGCATCCGCTGCTGCTGCCCCCCCCGACGACGATAGAAGAGGCCTCGCTTCTTCCCCCGTTCCGTCGGTTGAATCCTCTCCGTTCTCTCCGTTCTCTCCGTCTCCCTGCTCTCCTTGTCCCGCGTCGTCACCTTGTTCGCCTGACGGATCCTCCGTTTGTTCCTCGCCTCCGTCAGCCTCGTCCGCCTCGCCTTCCTCTATTTCATTCTCCACCGCTTCCTCTCCGTCGTCTACGACTGCATTTTCAAGCTTCTCTGTTGCATTCTCCTTCTCCTCGTCGTCTGCCGCGTCTGCTCGCTCGTCCTCTTTTTTCGGGCCATCCATCCTTTCTGCCGGCCTTACCAAATCCGTGCTTTAGAAAAGCAACACCCAGAAACAAAAGGTTTTCTATCGTACAACAAACAATGAAAAAAAACTAATTCCGTAAATGGTAATGTGAGAAATCCTTCGCTGATAACAGCCGCGAGTCCATCCAAACGTGGGCCTTCCCCGTCCAAATCACCAACACGAGTTGGTCTGCAGGTGGAGCAGCACCTGATGATCTGACACCAACTCGGACACCCTGCTGAGGCACGACTAGACCAAACTATTTGAAAAAGAAACTGAATCCATTTCGCTGCGCAAAGCAAAGAAAACAAGGTCGCGAACCTGAAAGATAGGCCGAGCATGAAGCCAATCGCTCTGAGGGATTGTTGTGAGTCATCAGGCTCGGAAGCCCTGGTATGGTGTGGTACCAAACCGAAAAAAATGTGAATGGAGGGAAAATCAGCATCCCAGTGACTCTGACAAGCACTGACGTGGCAAGTCGTGGAAATTCTGGCAATATTTTACATCGCAGCTCCCAAGGAGAGATGAGGGCGCGTGTCTTTTGTAGTGTTTTGGTATCTTTAGTTGAACTGTATACATTTGACTTATCGACTTTTTTTACCCGAGTCGCTGCTCCTCGCTTCACATGAATCACATGGCACACAAAAGTTTGACTATCGAAGTTGAACCTTTTACAGCGATCATCGAGTCGCTTCCCACTCACGTGGGTTACCGCGTGTACCACGTGTGTGTTTGCGACACCGGAAACCAGATTCGCGACAACCCTCGCACGCACGATGCGTTCTGTGACTGTCGCCGATTTTGCCGCTTCCAGGTGCATGGTCAAAAGGACACACGCGCGCCTTTTGGTGCTCGAATGATTTGTGCGGAAAGCTCGACCCAGGTTTAGTGTCCTAGGTATGAGCTTATATCGACATGGTTTCGACCCTAGGCCGTTCCTTCGATAGCTGTCCCTTTCACTCGTCTTCAGCTGCTGGCAGCGTGCAAGGCGACGGCCGTGACGAGCAGCGCGGCGGACGCGAAATGCAGCGCAAGTGCTGCAGCAGCTGCGCGATCGTCATTCGCCGCGGCCGTCCCGTCGCGTGCCTCGTCCCGCCCAATCGCCCCGCCTTCGCCGCCCCCCCGTGCGCCCCCCCTTGCGCTTCCCCACCCGTCCCGAACCTGCGCGCATGCGGGGGCGGTCACTGTTAGGGGGAGGAAAGGGGGAAGGGGGTGGCGGGACGACGGCAGCAACCGTCTGCGCCAGCGCCAACGGCGATCGTTGGCGCCCCCACCAGCGCCATCCCGATCCCCTCCCTTTTCTCTTTCGCGCCCTACAACGGCGGACGCTTGGGGGGGGGAGGAGTGGTGGGAGTGGTAGCCGAGGCTGCAGGGGTACTGAAGCCCCCTTGAACCCCCCGCCCCTCCCTTATCCTCCTCCTCATCGCTGCAGCAGCATCTGCAGTGCATGCCGCGTTGGTTGGGGGGGGGTGGGGAGAGGGTGTGGGGTTGGCGGGTACTTCAAGGAAGCTGCCCCTCCTCCTCTCTCATCCGCTGCACCTGTTCTCGCTCTTCCTCCTCCTCTCATCTCCTACTCGTGCCCCCTACTCATCTTCCGTTCTCTCGTTCCGTTCCGTGGCAGCTGCTGCTGCTGCCTGCTGCTAGCTCGCCCCCGAAGGTGCTGAGCCATGCTGTCCTGCTGCTTGTTGCACCCACAGTGCCTGCTCTCTCGCCCACCTGCTGTCGCCTGCACCCGCCTCTGCTGCATCTGCCAATACTGCAACTATTGCTCGCTGGTGGCTTGCCTCAGGAGGTGTGTTGAAATATGTTTGTACACATTTATATAACTGCCTACAGTAGTGTAGTGCATATTGCATTGGTGGTGCACCTTCCTTGTCCTTGACTATTTGTACTTGTCGCTTCACAGAGAAACCCCTTATCTCCTACGTTCCATCTCGTTACCCCTCGATCATCATGCCTCCTAAACCTAAGTCCTAGTTATGAGCTTATATCGACACCCGGGTATAAGAACATGCCTACGATAAGCGCATGCGCTTCTATCTGAAGCATTGCACTTATATTCGGTCCTCTATTATACGCGCACCCTAAGCTGCTTATATGCGCACCTCTTTTTTCGTAATAAGTTCGAAAATGTTATCATAATACTGTGACGAATTTAAGTAGTGTTGGAATAACCGAAAGGTTATTTAGACATTCCAGTTTGTTGTGCTAACAGCACATGAGCTCATATAGAGCACGCGCAACTCCCACTGTCACGATATGCCCATATACTGTGTCACCCCGGATATTGGCGCAGGCATGTGATAAGCGCATGTGCTTCTATCTGGAGCACTGCGCTTATATCCAGTCCTCCACTATAAGTGCACCCATTGAAAAACGTGACTTATTATAAGCGCATGCAAGTTTTTTCATTTGAAACGATAGTGAAATGCACTAAAAGGAGTTATATGAACAGTGGGTCAATACATTATGAACCCAGATCAATCTAGCGAGAGAACACACTTCGCGTCTTAGTCATTGGTGCCTGTTTGTGACTCAACAGCAAGCATGTTTGTTGACAGGGAATCCTTTGTCAGAATTACGAACAGTAATCATTAACAGCAGAAGAGGGATTGCACTAGCAGGCAGAGGGGATACAAATACGAAACCCTAACAGGGCTGTACTCACTACTGAGTACCCCACTGCAGACTAGACAATATAACATTCTGACACACCCCCATAGGCAAAGTGGGGTATAATCAGCACAACAAGCAGTCATAGAGCAAGTTCACAAATTAGCCCTAGTGGCAGACATATCAGAGGGGCAGTGAGGAGGAGGAGGGACTACGTGAGGAGAGGAGTTGGGAGGCGGCAGGTGAAGCTGCTGACACACGGGCAACGGAGCAACTGGCACACTGGCTACCGGAGCAAGGGCCCCGGACTACTGGAGCAACTGGCTCCGCGGCTAGACGAGCGGCTGGAGCAACGGACCCACGGGCGACTGGAGCAACGGGCTCACGTGCTACCGGAGCAAGGGCCCCGGACTACTGGAGCAGCAGGCGACACAGTGGCTACCTCCTTCCAACCTCCCCCCATTGCCCCCAAACCCTTTTCTCACATCCCCCCCAGCTAGCGCCACTCCCCAACCTCACCCACTCCATCCCCCCCTCAGCGGCAGCTGCAGCAGTGGGAGAGAGAGGAGGAGGAGGGGCAGCTGGTCACGCACTCCCACCACCGCCATACCCCCCCTTACCCCCGCCCCCCCCATACACTCCACACGGCTGCACGCGCAACAGGAAGTCTAAGGAGGAGGGGGGGAGGGCGGGCGGCGTCGTGACGTGCAGGGCGCTGGCGGGCTGCCGGGTCCAGGAGGGGCGGCGCGCGGGTCCCCAGGGGCGGCGCGCGGGTCCAGCGGGGCAGCGCGCGGGTCCAGCAGGGGCTGCGCGCGGGTCCCGCAGGGCGTCGCGCGGGTCCAGCGGGGCAGCGCGCGGGTCCCGCAGGGCGTCGCGCGGGTCCAGCGGGGGCGGATAGTGGGTCCCACGGGGCGGGGACGGCGCGAAAGTCCCCGGGGGCGCCGCGACGGACGACGGGGGCGGCGCGCTGGTCCCCGGGGGCGCCGCGACAGGCGACGGGGGACCGCGCGCGGGTCCCTGGGGGCGCCGCGACGGACGATGGGGCGTGAAACCGCCGCGCGCGCCCGGGGCGCGCGGCGGGCAGGAAACCGCCACGCGCCCCGAGCGAGTGGCGGGCAGAAAACCGCCACGCGCCTCGAGCGCGTGGCGGGAAAAAAAAACGTCGCGCGCCACGGGGCGCGCGACAGACAGTACAGCAGCGGAAGCAGGTGGGCCCACAGGCCGAGAGCGTAGAAGCTCTGATAGCATGTCAGAATAACGAACAGTAATCATTAACAGCAGAAGAGGGATTGCACTAGCAGGCAGAGGGGATAAAAATACGAAACCTAACAGGGCTGTACTCACTACTGAGTACCCCACTGCAGACTAGACAATATAACATTCTGACATCCTTCCCTGTCAACTTGCGCGAAATTTTCTACGACGTACTCCTCAAGAGCTATAATTCGGTGTCGAAAATTTCGTACTTCCCATTTGCCATTTTTTAAGCAGATGCGCTTATAAAAATTACTCGATTTATTAGCGTACCCCCTAAAAGAACGTGCTTTATTATATGCACATGTATGCTTCTATCCGGGGTAACACGGTGTGAAGAATGAACGAGGGAATGAATGAACTAGAAAGGAGATGGGTACAAGTATGAAAACATAGAAAAGCTGTACCCCATAAAGTCTACCCCACTACAGCCTACATAGGCTATATCATATATGTTTGACACACCCCCATAGGCAAAGTGGGGGAGAACAAGGGGTCACATGACCAGTCAAGAAAAGCACAGCAAGCTCAGGGTGGATCACGACGTCACCACGCAGTCTGAGCACACGTACAAGGCCACAAGGCCAGTTCACATGCAGAGTTATAAATCAAGGTGAACGGGCAAGATATTGATCTCAACCTAGCAAGGGTAAGCATGCAGGTGCAGGTATATATAGATCACAGTACAAGCAAAGTCAAGAGGTGAGCAAGTGAGGCCAGGTAGGCACAAGACCTAACATGGTACACAAACGCTGATGATCACAAGGCTGAAGTGCCTTGGTAAAGATATCAGCAGTGTTGGCCCGAGTGGCCACGTAAGCAAGACGAAGCTGACCACGCTGCTGCAACTCTCGAGCCAGGAAGTAGCGCAGAGCAATGTGCTTCGTTCTGTGCTCCAGTTTGTGCTCCTCACACAAGGCCAGCATGGCCTTGTTGTCGACGTACAGAACTGGAGGGGAACGAGGCGCCTCTCCCAAATCGGTCAGCAGGTAGGTGAGCCAGCGTAACTCCTGTGCAGCCATGGCTCCAGCGTAGATCTCAGCCTCACAACTTGAGCTGAGAACAGAAGACGAGCGAGTAGAACGCCACGAAACAGAGCCGGAACCAAGGCTGAAGGTGTAACCCTGTGA